GATTAGGTAAGTGTTGCCATATTTCCTACCATTACAGTGCTATACCACAATTCCAGGAACTTTTTGACTGCCCTACATACATGAACATGTGCTTATCATACGGGGTGGGGAAGCATTCATTCAAAGTAACGTGAATTGGAAGACAAGTGTTTGCCATTGTTGGGGAACATTATAATCAAATTACTTCTTAAAAAATAAAATTAATCATTTTTCTGTCTGCCCTTGCATAGAGAAAATCATCTGATAACAGTTATGCTACAAAGATACCATGAATAGGTGCAGAATATTTCTTCTTTGTTGGTAGTGATCCCAATACATTGGTCGAAAGTACCGCATTCTCAACAATGGGCAAAATCCAGCCATTTCTTGTGTCCATGTCAACAAATGCGGTGCTGGTTATGGACTTCCACTGCCACTTAACGACATCAGAAGTAGTTGGCTATTTTGCAGGACACTGGGATGTTAATGCACATAGTAAGTTTTCAAATAACCACCAGAATGGTTGGTTTTGTTAGTAATAATGATACTGTACTAAATATAGTAATTTTTTGCATTATAGATCACGTTCTTCTTTTGTGTTTCATGGTCTCACTCTAAAGCTAATTAAATTTTACAAAATGTATAATAATGTGGCTAGCACTTGGGTTTAGGTGCAGTCACTCTGTGAAACTTATTTAATTGTAATTTTTATTTATGCACGCACCTGTTAAATTTCTCTTGCAGATGAACTGAGTCTTTCGGGCGGTCAGCAACCTGATGAGATTCAAATGGTGTTTCAGTCTCAAATTTCCTTTTTACAGAGGTTTTTCTTGGTTCCATCAGTGATTATACCTTAAAATGACCATTTCCAGTTCATCATTCACAATTATCCTCACATGAAACTTCGAAACTGTGCATTTCCAAGGCAAGCAAGCCATTCTGCCGGCACTTCATAGTGCCACACCCCCCTCAATTTTTACCGTAGAACTATTCACACTATGTAAGGCACTCGAGGCTGTGGGTAACTGTCTTTCATGGCAGTTTATATTACATACAGACTCCTTGAGCACAATCCAAGAGTCCCCTGATCTCATTCACCTACTCATCTCAGAGCTATGCACAACCTGTCATTTACTGTCTTAATAGGCTTAAATATAACTTTAGCCTGGATACCAGGCCATATAGGTATCAGTGGCAATGAGGCATCAGATGCCACTGTGAGGGATGCTGCTACAAAAGGCTTTCTAGTATCTGGTGTCCAATATCTGGATATTAATACTGCCTTTTGTCAGTTTATCATACTGTGAATGTGTGCCGTAACTAGTAAATAGGTATGGATAGCCTCAACAGCTGATGCACCTATAAACCCGCATGATTACTACTACTACTAGTAGTAGTCGTAGTAGAAGTACCACCCACAATCACCACCACCTGCAGTGGCACGGTATTACAACCCAGAAGACCACAACCGACGTCTTCACCATGATAAGTCTCACATATCCCTTCTTGTTAACACGCTTTTAGCGGTAGAATGCTGTAATTTCTTTCCCCTCTTTCTCCTCGTTTGTTCCTTGAAAGTCATTAATTAAATCTTACAGTAAGAGTTTCTGATTAGTTTTAGCTGTGTATTTCCTGTCTGTCTTAGACCTTGCAATCACACATGCATTTCCATGCCGTTCGCGACTTGCGGACAGAGAATTGGCTCCGCTGGTGGAAGCCGATATTTTCCGCGCCATTGAGCAACGGCACTTGACTCTGGTTGGATGGTACCATTCCCACCCATTTGCTGCTGCCACCCCGACACTTCGAGACATAGACGCACAACTCGACTACCAGATCAGGATGAAAGGCAATAGCGATGCCAGTTATACACCTTGTGTTGGTGTTATCTGCTGTGAGTATCTCACAACCTCAGTGGCTTCTTTATCATTACGTTTGCCCAAATATAGAATGTACACGCACTATGTACTGTGGTTAGTTCTCTGATTATTAAGTTTTTCTAAGTAAGTCAATGATGGACTTCTGAAGACTGAGGCAGTATGTTCCTCCAAAACATTGATATATGCTTACAAGTCCCTGTGATGTTACAACTCAGAAGAACAACACTGACATCTTCATCACCATGAGAACCTGAAAGCTCATACATTTTCTGAATAATTTTACTTCTTTCAGTGTTCATAGCTAACTTCCTTTTGTTCGTTTTCGTTTTTTTCCCTTTCTTTTTCTCTTGCTCTTTTGTCATTTAAGGACTCTTCACAATTCAAAAAGTGTAGTATATGAATGTTAGATTTGTGCTTAACAGTGTTGTAATTGCCTTACAGCTCCGTATAATCATGATTGCCCAAGTCTGGAGTCATCAATTGTCAGTTACTGGGTGATGCCTCCACCTGAGACGAAGCCTCATGAATATGGGAAACCAATGTTGATGAGTTATAGTGTGGTCCAAGACCAGTTTCTATCACAGGATGCTCTCAATGAAATGGTAGGTACTTTAAACTGAATGCTACCTTCTTCCTTGTACTGTTGAAGTGAAAAACAGAAAATAATGTATATCATTTGGTCATTTTAACCCTTCAATGCCACTGGAGCTTTAAATGTAAACTACTGCCCAGGATAGAGGAGATACAGGCTTTACATAACCCAAAATGCACTCTTTGAAATACACATAACATGGCCGGTTTAATCTTCATTTCTTCAGCATTGTGAATTAAACTGTGGGCTTGTTCTGGTTATGAGAATTAAATTGTTCGATATTTTGTCAACAGTCCCTTGCATCTTATGCTCTTTGGTTTGTATCAATATAGTAGCTCATTATTCAGTCTTCAAGCATTTTTATAACTATTCTAACCATTTCTTGTAATGGTTTTAATTACTGTATTAATATTTATTTTGATGAATGTTCCTTAATATCTCCATTTATTATTCTTTATCAGAGGAAATGCATTTCTGCTCTTCACATTTGTTTGTGTGATAATTTTCGATTTTTGGAACTCACCCAGCACACTTTTCATTAATTCTTTATTTGAGACTTTCTAGCCAACTGAGGTCCAAGGTTTCTGTGTTAGTATATCCAACATTTTGTCGGGTTGCTTTCACTGAAGTGCACTGTAGAGAAACCTCACTTCAGTTCTTTTGCTACCACATTCGTTGTGGTTATTCCGGTGACTTAATATTCTGAAAATGTTTATTTCATTGACAGAGACGGTGTGTGAATTTCTACCAGAATGAAAGGGATTTTGTGAAGTTCAATGAGAAATTCAAAGGCAGTATTACCTACCTCGACAAGCTAAAGGTACACGTCATTGATACTTATTTTGTGTATTTTTTAGGACCTGCCTTCGAGTCCATTACATTATATAAATAGTGGGAACATACAGCCTACAGACTGAATGTAGTCATATTCAGAATTTTCACCTGCCTATGAGGACATTGATAATTATTATTCCTTCAAACCCAAATAGCAGCGACACACCAAAACTTCTAAATTTCTTGGAATGCCCCAGATTGAATAAAAGAACAATCTGACAGTCAATGACTGATAATAGTTTCCAGTATGAAACATTACCAGAATTTTGAACATTTAAGCTGCTGAAGTTTTAAAGCATGGTTAACTAAAGCACTATGGATTTACGTCATACCATAATTAGCATATCTTAAAATCACTGCTTAGAAGTGCAGACACCAAGAAAACTGATACAGACAGTAACTGTAATTTTCTCATAAATTTTTGCCAATGAAGGATGTCTGTCACATGGTGTACTCTGCCGTAATGGAAAAGCCAACTTTTGTTTTTTCTCACTCAGCTACGCTGTTTCTCTCAGATGATTTACATGTTGCTAATTGGTTATATTGCTTTTTCACACAATGCTGATAATTTAACTTCTTCTGTGGCTCTCCGGTCCATATTCGGTCCATGGCCTCCTCAATTCTCCTCTTCCATTCAGTCCTTTGTTAGGTCCGTCTGTCCGAGGCTTTGATCGAGATTTCGAAACATCTTTCTTTTTACGGTGCAAGGTTGTTTGCCTTGCGACCAACCCCCAACCTGGAGGACCAGGGTACCTGTCTTAGTCTGACCTCTCCCCCTCGACCAATCTGGCTAGGGAGGCCCTACCAGTAGCTCTTGGGGTCACTGAGGTACTCAAGCCCCACCACCATGACAAGGTGCAGGTACCATTAAGTGGGCAAGTCCCTGTATAGTGTTAGTTATTTTCAAGATTACATTTTGTACTCTTGCGCTGTATGTTTCCTTTTATTCCTGAGCTGTCTTTCATGTCTTTGCTGTTCCATGCCTAATTTTCTTTGTTATTCTATTTCAGACTACACTAACATCCAAATTTCCCCGAGATCAAAGTGATGGAATTCTCTGGGGTTTTATACGTGAAATGGTTTGTCCAGGTTCAAGCAGTACTGAGAATGGAAACAGGGTTTTTAGCCCCCCAGAAATCCCTGTTGCCATAAGTACAACACCAGCACCACTGGAACGTATAAATCTGCTGGTACCGAATGTCGTCCCAAGCTCCATGCAGCCTGTCAACTCTAACAGCACTAGCACTACTAGCACTAGTACGTCACCATCTATGACAGTTGGAATGGGTCCAGCAGGAGGACTCATGATGGGATCAGAGATTGCCAATGCACTGTTTGCAACTGGGAAATTTCCATCACCATCATCCCTCATGGGTCTTGGTACTGATCCAGGCCGGGCTAGTCTTGCCATGAGCAACATGTTCATCTCGCCAATCGGCTTCAAAATGGATCAGATTAGTATCCTTAAACCTCTCTCTATCTCCACTGCATCAACTCCAACAACTTCTTCCTCTAGTTGCAATAATAATAGTACTAATAACAATAACAACAACAACAATAACACTAGTGGTAGTGTCACAAATAGTCCAATTCCTGGTCCCTCCAAAATTGCAGATGTTACATCTCCTAGTGTGAAGGTAACTCAGACTGATTTGGGGTAACTTCACGGCGCTAGTAAGTCTCAAAAAGGACCGTATAAAAACAGCGAGCGGACAAGTACTCTAATCGAGAAAGTGAAGTACCTCGTAAAAGTCTTTTCAGGCAACGAGTATGGAATTGAGTTTCCAGTTTTTTCGACACTGTCTCTGCCTCCGTCATCATGGAGACGGTCTTTGAAATGTGAACTAATAAATTACTCACTCAGCTGATTTCCTGATGAGACCCACAGTGTGCAGTCATCATGGAGGAAGCTCAGTCACTCACCCTATGGTGCAGGAGATTCTTTGAAAAGTTGATTGTATACTCGGCTCGTCAAAGAATAGCCCACCTTCTTTATTGAACCCAAAGGTTCATCACTGTGTTCACAAAAGCCTCCCACCACATTCTATCCTGAGCTATCTGCATCCAGTTTGCGCTGTCGATTCCTATCTCCCTAAGATCCATCATAATGTTATCCTTCCCAGTGGTCTCCTCCCTTAAGGCCTCCCAACCAATACCTTTTAAACACCCCTTCCCTCCCCTACGCATGTCTCCGAATACTTTGTAGTACCAGTGATATACGTAAATATTCATCCTAATCTCCATTCACTTTCTTCAAAATGGATGTAAACAAAATACTGCACAGAGGAGAATTGAGGAGGCCGTGGACCGAATACGGACCGGAGAGCCATAGAAGAAGAAGAAGAGAAATTGTATTCTTCCACAGTAATCTGCCATTGTTGGTGTACGCTGGGAGACGGTATCACGGTTCTAAGCTGTAAAGTCATACCCTACATCTCGTACCTCATTGGACACACAAATTATGCACCATTAGGCAAATTTCAAAATATATCAGTTTATGTTATTCTAAGTTGTCAGATAATGGACCAGTTCCTTGATGTCGGTCTTGGTGCTCGAGAAAAGAGCCAATTTTAAAGCGTTCCGATGATGGTGTGCTACACTCGGGATTACTAAATTCTTGGACTCTGTCCATCGTCTGATATTCAAAAGAACATTTCGGAAACCGGATCTGTTTCCGCCCTCTTTCTAACGGACACAACTGAGTCCTCTTCCCTTTTTTCACCTGAGGATGCAGTATTCTCTGGCCTGAACTACTTCAGTTGATTCATGTCCTTGGTCAGGATTAGAGTTATTAAATGTCCAAATTTCTCCAGATATATGACTACTGAGTATTGCGCTGGCAGCGTAGCGTGGCCTTTCTGCTATGTGTTCACTGTGTCGCTTGCCATGTTTCCTAGTCGTAGTGGCACAGGTGCTAAATATCTTCGCTGTTTGTAATATCATCACATAACATTTCCATTTCACAACCTTCCAAAATCAACATGAATATTATTTCTAGTATTCGGTACCACACAATATCTAAAGTGGAGAAAGTATCGTGAAATAAACCAAGACCATCTCTACAATGAGATTATTTTTTGTGTGGAACTGTTTTTTGTGCAGAGAGATCGGCAGATGACCACAACAGGGCTAGTAAGTATTGATTCATTGGAATGCATGAAAAATGTCTCAGTTTGGAGAGACTTTGCTTGACATTTGTAACCGGGACCTTCCAAATGCCAGAATTTGTCTCTAGGGAATCTAGTGATGCTAGTCTTTAGGAAACTTCACTCATGAAAGTGCTCTGTATTCCTTGATGTATTTCTATTTATGATCTTGTACGCAGAGCCAAGAGTACTTGTTGTGTTTAAGTTAAACCAGGCTTGATATTAAATGTAGCATGTTCTATTACTTTTTGAAATGTCATGTCAATTCTAATTTCATGAGACTTAATTGGTCTTTTTTTGTACTAAATAAGTGCTCGAGAAGTAATTGTTCTAAACTAATTTATATGGTGATGATTTTGTTTCAAGATGTACAGGTTGTGATAATTACTTTATTTTTTATTTGTCGCCATAATGGAATTTCTTTTTACATGTTCTGTGAGGTCCAAGGCATTTTTTCTGATATCTTTATTTTCATGGGCAGTATTACATTTTTGTATATTGTGTTATAGATAATTTTTTTATACTTGAAAATGAGATGAATAGTGTGTTCATGAGGTATTAATTTCAATGTACCATTTTGTCTGAAATACATTTTTGAATCTTGAATGATGTCAGATTTACTAGTTCAGGTCTTTCCCACTCTATTACATAACACATGACACAAATTTCTAAGCTGGAAAGTTGTTTTGAAAGGAAACTTGTTATTGAAAAGATATGTTTTCTATATTAATTCACAGTCCAGTTTTGTTTATTACTTCATCTAAAAATAATACTTGAAAAGGAATTTTCCCATAAACCTTCAAAACACGTAACATCGGCATACTAGTTCTTTGAAGAATGTGTGATGTGTAATATCAGTCCAGTGTCTACAACTATTGAGACCAGCCAAAGTAACGTATATACAGAATGATCGAAAAGTCGTGCAACCCATTCCTGACACATGTTCTGTTTGTCAAAATATAAACTGCATTGAAATCAGAAAACAACAAAGTTATATTAAGAGTTAAAAATGTTCACCACGGTAATTTACTTTTTTCTTCATGCAGCCCGTTGAAGAGTCTCTTGTTGTGACAGAAACGTTCACTAGACGAGATACTGTCGATTAGTTTGGCACAGGAGAATCGAGAAATGTATTCCTAAACGAGATGTCAGGTAGTGTTCGATGATGAACACTCGTTCCACTTCGACTGTTAGAAGACAACTGACGGATTGGCGCAAGTTACATGACGTGGCCTGCGTTGTTTAGACATATATCGATACAGTGTTTATTAATATGTACATGTAGTCAATTTAGGTTAAAATAAGTAACACGCGTGATATGAAGATGCAAACCCAAATAACACCAGTGGTAAAACAATGAAAAATATGTCATTGTTAATGAGGCCTAACACAAGCTGCCAACAACTGACAATTATTAAGAGAAGGATTGATAATGTGAGCGAAACCAGACATCATCCTACCACCGAAACTATGGTTAACAACCTTCTTTGTGTTTGTAAGGTCTGGGTACTTATCTCGGCCTGGAGACTGCCTAACCTGAATAAGGTTTTAATGGTTTTACTCAATACCCAAAAACGGGCTACGACCGATTCCATATATTAATAACATCACGTATGAACGTTTGCAACTATCCACGAGTACCATCAATCTGCAAATTTTTAAGCATGTAATGACACTATTTTGGATAACGGATTTAATTAAATATTCCCATTATCATTGTTTTAATTTCACTCGCTGTAATAAAGGACTAATAGTGTCTGAACCTGCTTCAAATACGGTTTATAAATAACCGAAGAATTAAATAAAAGAACCTTAACTTACGGTGATCGATTATTACGCTACTTTACGATGTTTCAACCCACAGGTACACAGCACCAAAATTGTATGGAAAGGCAATATGATCACTGAGTGCATGAGAGTCTGAAGTGAAGCAGTCTTGGGTCATTTGAAGATACTTCCGGGGAATTAGCCTGGAGAGACTGAGGAAAACTACGCTAAACACGGACCAGAACTGCCGGTAGTCTTGCCAGAATTCGAATATGGTGTCTTCTGACTACAAGTCAGTTGTTTCACCATATAGTCTCTGATAGTTTATGGACATTTCAGAGCTTCTAGATGCCTCCACTGTCGTGGGACAGAGTGATGCTTAGAAAACGAGCTATTATTGATCAACAGATGATAATGGAGGCAGAATTGTCTGTTAACTTCTATCAAACTACACGGTGTTAGAACCCAGAAGACGGTCGTCAAAGAAAACCTCAGTCATGCTGGTCGATATTGAACGAGCAATGACAATGCCAACTGGGGTCCCGCCTCTCTGCGCTTGCAACAAGTCCAGCTACTCGTTCACAAGGGGCAATCTCGCAGTGGCCCCTAGCAAGGTAGTCTATTGTTGTACATACCGGAGAAGAAATGTGACGTCATCAACCAGTTTGTTCCTCGCTTTCACGAGGTTTCTTGAGAAGTAACTGTGGCCAGTCTCAGTTGGCTGCTGGTTGCCTGGAGTGAAGTGTCTGGCGAGTGAATGCATGTGAGGTTAACGGACTGCCCATCGCCCCTCGGAACATACGGTACCAACTGGCGCCCGAGTGCAACAATGCTACGAATCATGGGTGACAACAATTCGTAACCATCACCACGTTTAGGGAGTGGTTTTATAAATTATTCAGTTAGAAAAAAGAACAGCCAAAACGTCTCGCAAATCACAGGTATGAAGAAACAATTATTTTAATAAACATTTCACGTCTATTTAATGACTGCGAGAAATTTCTGTATGAAATTTTGATTTTTATAACAAAGTTTAATTACTCGAAGGTGACTATCTTCTAGGATTTAAGCCGTGTAGTCTGGTAGAAATGTAAAGACGTTTCAAAGGTGATTAATGCTGCCATCACCATAGCGATAATGGCATCTCTCATCTTCATACTAGTCACCGTTAGAACGTAAAATCTCACAAGCGTGGAGAATGTTACCTATTGTTAAATGCAGTCTCTTTTGCATACCTGGTTGGCACTAAGGTTAATTTATTGCAGTTAGAAATATATTAGAGTTGACCCTCGTTATACAGCGGAATCAGATACACCACGGGTGTGATTATGTCCCCGAAGACGAAAATTAGATGAATGTTTAATTCACTAAAACAACGGTGATGAAACTGTTCCCCGACAGCCGAAGTATAATGAGGCTACTGTACTCCATGTTCAGACTCATCGTTAGTTAGTTAATCACACACATGTCACGCCATTTGGAGTCAGAAATTGTATTTCTTCACAGTTAATCAAATATCAAAGATAGGTGTTCTTCACGCCCCAGCGTGAGCGAAGAACACACAATTTCATCAATGTCTGCCTGTCTATTACATTTCTTAGCTGGAACTACGCAGCCCGCATGTCTTCCCCAAGAAGCGAGGCTAATTCAGGGAGATGCGCTCCGAGGATTCCACCCCAGGTTATGTCAAATGCAGATTCTTCCGTCTCTTCCAGGCTCCCTCCTAAACCAGAGGATTCCACCCCAGGTTATGTCCCATGCAGATTCTTCCGTCTCTTCCAGGCTTCTGTCCCATTCCTTACTCTAGGGCTTTCCCATAGGACGTGGCTCCCCTAGGCCTTGCCTTCATTGGGCTGAAAACCCCTGGGCTTCTGCCATATAGGTGAGGTCACAGACCTCGGGAGGACCATGACTACTCCCGAGGGGCTTGCTACTTCCGGGGACTACGCCCGCTGGGGACACCCAAG